CCTAAGGAGGCTCAACGCTTTTGTAATGTACAGACACTTCAAGATGGAAGGCATCCACCTTCTGAGAGATCTTCTCCAAGACGAGGACTGGTTCACGAGGCTAGGGCCTCAAGGATGCTTACCTGTCGGTACCAGTCCATACATCTTGCCGCCAATTCCTCAGATTCCTATGGCAAGGCCGGCCCTGGCAGTTTACATGCCTCCCCTTCGGCCTCAGCTCAGCACCGTGGTGCTTCACCAAACTGCTGAAGCCAGTAGTGTCACGACTACGAACTCAAGGAATTCGGTGCATTATCTACCTGGACGACCTGCTACTGTTTTCCTCAGACAGGTACAGTCTAACGCAACACACACGATATACCACTTATTCCTGACATCCCTAGGCTTTGTGGTGAATTACCAAAAGTCGGAAATATCCCCAGCCCAGACGGTACAATTTCTGGGCTTCCAGATAGATTCCAAGACCAGCACATTACGGCTTCCGACCTCAAAGATCACAGCTATCAAGAAGGAATTACGCAGAGTCATCCGCTGCCACACCATTCCACTCCGCAACCTGGCTCGGATCGTGGGCTTGCTGTCCGCATCTATCCAGGCAACGCCTGAAGGCCTCCTTCCTCCGCCAGAACCCATTCTACGATCAAACCATTCCGGTAACGGAGGAAGTCAAGGAAGAACTCGGATGGTGGTTGGACAGCATGGAAGCTTGGAACGGCCGAGCCATCTTCGGGAACACGCCCGACATAGTCCTGGAATCGGACGCCAGGCGAAGGCAGATCGACAGGAGGCACTTGGACTTCCCAGGAAATCAACCTTCACATCAACTGCCTAGAACTCCTAGCGGGGTCATTCGCGATCTGCAGCCTAGCGAGGGACCGGACGGATTGCTGCATCCTCCTCCGGATGGATAATGTCTCAGCGGTCCGCTACATCAACCGATTGGGAGGGGCCTGGTCCAGACTCCTCTCAGAGATTACGAAAGAAATCATCGATTTTTGCCTACCCCGGAAAATCTACCTCATGGCAGAATACCTCCCGGGCGAAACGAACCTGACAGCTGACTGGTTCTCTCGCCACTGGCGGGACAGCAGCAACTGGAGACTGGACCCAATGATTTTCCACCGCCTCTCGGTCAGGAGGGGTCCCCTCCACCTGGATCTCTTCACATCACGCAACAACAGGCAGACAGACGACCAGATCCAGAGAGCAAGGCAGTAGATGCGTTTCTCCAACCATGGCCGCCCATGGGTGCGTACGCCTTTCCCCCATTCGCCATGGTAGCAAGGACGATACAGTACTTGAAGACGCAACGCAGGTCTCTGCCCCTCATCACCCCCCTATGGCAGGGCCAACCATGGTTCCCGGATCTTCTAGCATCATCCTACAGGGATCCTCTCCTCATAGCGTCCTTCCCGATGCTCCTCACAGACCCGAGAGGGAACCCTCACCCTCTCGTCCTGGAAGACTCCCTCACGCTAGTAGCTTGGACTCTTTCAGCGGTGCCTGGCAAACCGAAGACTTATCGCAGACGTCTCGAGACCTCATATGGGATTCGTGGGCACCAGGAACCAGACGATGCTATCTCAGCATGGAATTCCTGGTCCGCTTGGTGCAGTGAGCGGAACCTCGATCCCTTTACGGCACCTATAACAGCCATCTTGAATTTTCTCTCCCATCTATTCTCCACGGGCCGGTCTTACGATCCCTCAATGTCGTGCGCTCTGCGATTTCGGCGGCCCACATACCGGCTCTGGGTATACCCGTCGGGAAAGATCCACTGGTATGCCGTCTCCTAAGGGGCATTAGACTACAGAGGCCTCCGAAGCCTAAATACTCCCGGTTATGGGATGTGGAAGTCATCCTACAGTTCCTGAGGGACTGGCCAGATAACGACAGACTCTCCCTCCGACAGCTATTGGCCAAACTGACGCTCCTACTTTGTTTGGTCTCGTTCCGCAGAGTATCAGACGTGTGGGTATTTGACATCAATGCTTTTTCGGTCTCCCCAGAGACGAAATCCGACTCCTTGTCGGTTTTCTACCCCTTTTTCCCTACGGAACCGTTGCTTTGCGTGGTGTCTACTCTACGTCGGTACGTGGAAGTCACATCCCTTCTTCGGGTCTCATCTTTGGGCCAACTGTTGGTGTCTTACGTTAGAGCCCATGTCCCCGTCTCTTTTACCACCCTCGCCAGATGGGTAAGATGGATCCTGTCTCTGGTGGGAGTGGAGGAGACCTTCGGAGCCCACTCCGTCCGCGGAGCGGCGGCCTCATCGGCTTTCGCCACGGGCGCGTCGCTGGCAGACATCTTACGGGCCGCAGATTGGTCAAGAGAATCGACCTTTCGGACCTTCTACTTCCGCCCAAACTCGGGGGCAACCACTCTCCGTTAAAAATGCTAAATATGAAGCCTCCTGTCCTGTGGTAAAATTGAAGGAGGGGGAGGAGCCTCATCACTGTGAATACTATACATCCTACTGCATTTTTGATTGGTTAATGTTTTCACTTTTCTTTACTGCTATGTGGAGTTAGTAAAGAGAGTTTAATGCAAAATACTCGCCTCCTGTCATTACTAAAATTAAGATTATAAATACACTAACGCTAGCATAATCTTCAATTTAGTAATACAATTTAAGTAAACAAAGCACAGTTAAAAGGTTTTAAGTTTCTACTTATGTTTTGCTAATGTTTTGAAACATTAAAAATGAATTTAGGGTAAAGACACACTACTGTGCTTTGACAAAAAATATAACAGATTCCTTCTCTGTTGGGCATTCACCCAGTCTCCATTCCTTCAAAAAATCATTGAAAACTCCCTTCTTCAGAAAAACGTATCAATTAAACTGTGAACAGCTTTTCACCCCTCCCCCTTAAATACTCCCTCTAGCATGTAAGCTCATTGAGCAGGGCCCTCAACCCCTTTGATCCTGTGCGACTAACTTGTCTGGTTACAATTACGTGTCTGTTAGTTCATCCATTGTACAATGCTACGGAATTTGCTGGCGCTATATAAATAATAAAATAATAATAATAAGAGAAGTGAAGACGGTGATTCTTAAAGGAACACTGCAGCATTAGGAATCGAAATCTGTATTTCTAACTTTATAGTGTCCCTCTCTCTAGCTCTAAATAAGTTTCCCCTGGAGCAAAAATAAATAAATAAAAAAGCATTAAAAATTCCCCATAGGAAAACATTGAGTCAATGCTTTCCTATGGGGCTTTCGATTCATGTGACTGAGTTTTACATGATCTGTGCCGCGAAAGCACCGCTTGTGGCTGTCAGTATGAAATATACCAACAATTGACAGGAGGAATTAAACCTGCAACGTAAACATTACAATTTCTTGCAGTGTTAAGGGGACAGGGACACTGCAACCAGACCACTTCACTGAGATCAAGTGGTTGGGGTGACTATAGTGTTCCTTTAAAGGACCACTATAGTGCCATGAAAACAAACTCGTTTACCTGGCACTACAGTGCCCTGAGGGTGCCCCCACCCTCAGGGTCCCAATCCCGCCGGGCTGAAGGGGGAGGAAGGGGATTAAACACTTACCTTTCAGCTCCGGGCTCCCTCGGCACTGGGGACTCTCCTCCCTCTTCCGACGTCATCGGCTGAATGCGCATGCACGGCAAGAGCCACGCGCGCATTCAAGCAGTCCATAGGAAAGCATTCTCAATGTTTTCCTATGGACGCTGGCATCTCCTCACTGTGAAAATCACAGTGAGAAGCGCGGAAGCGCCTCTAGCGGCTGTCAATGAGACAGCCACTAGAGGCTGGATTAACCCTAAAGTAAACATAGCAGTTTCTCTGAAACTGCTATGTTTATAGCAGGCATGGTTAATCCTAGATGGACCTGGCACCCAGACCACTTCATTAAGCTAAAGTGGTCTGGGTGCCTATAGTGGTCCTTTAAAGCAGCTCTGTCAACTCACAAAAACAATTGGAGTATAATATATAAATGGAATTTTTATCAAATACTCATATTGATTGTGTTGGAATTAAGCTGAAATTCCGGCGCATTTAAGAGATACAAAGACAAATTAGGGACTACTGACCAGTGAATACAAGTACTTTATTTCCCATAACCTGTCCCGTGATCACTACTCCAATTACAAAACAATTAAGTTGTTTGGTAAAAATGTTAAATGATATCTTATATCATACCTGAAAATAACCAACGCTTTTGCAAATTTGCTTCACGTCATATTTATGGAGGAAAATGAATGACAGAAACCTCAGATTTGCTTTACAGAATTTCCTCGGATCATATCATATCAGTTTTGTGCAACTACTTTTTTTACTACATGCTATTGCCCTTTGCCGACATTCATGTTCCGCTTTTATTTCCTCGAATTCTTAATTAGCAGGTATAATTTAGCAGAACCACCAATATTCAAAATATCAAATATTAAGTTATGCAAATATGCAAGAGGGGAATCATCCCTAAATTGGTATACTTAAATATTCCACATAAGGATACCAGATTAAAGAATTATCTACTAAACAGCTGAAAGATTTAAAGAACTCAACATGAAATTTGAAAAGTAACACATTTTCAAACCGAAATTTGAATAGTCTAAATCTAAATCTTTTCTGAATTTCAGGCTCTACAAAATTTGAAATAAATCAAATTGATTCAATATGAACCGAAACAAATGTTTCCCCCATTTCTAGCAAAAGGGTGTCCAGAGATATTCACAACAGTACATTTTACAGCTTTATTTTCTTTTCCTATTAAGATCAATAAATAGGAATAACATTTAATCATTTAACTATAATGAATTCACTTTCTCACTTTCTCCCACACTGCAATTTCTGTGAATATATTTAAATGTTGCAGTTGAGAGAAAATTGTGTTTTTTTAAGGTTTAATATGTGATGAATTTTTTGAAGTCGGTTTAATGGGAAATCTATGAATACACTGCATATATTCTAAACTGAACAGGTGAGACTGTCATTTAGTGTAAATCCTCACTAGTGAAACAAAAAATAAACCAAAGATGTCGAAAGAAGGAGCTAGTAAGCAATGCCAAGACAGTGGTAGAGAACTAAACAAGGGAGTTCATTTGAAAAGATCTTTAGGTTACTTCGATAGTGTGTGTTTTGTAATTGGGAGCATTGTAGGAGCTGGGATTTTTGTATCTCCTGCAGGAGTTCTGAAATATTCACAGCTTAACGTTGGTGTGGCTCTATGTATATGGGCTGCTTCTGGAGTCTTGAGCATGATGTGTTCCCTCTGTTACGCAGAATTGGGTTCTGCATTGCCATATACTGGAGGGGAATACTTTCATGTAAATCGAGGACTTGGATCTCTACCAGCTTTCATCTTTATCTGGACTTTAACATTGTTTATACGGCCTGCATCCAACGCAGCCCGTGCCCTGACTTTTGCAGAATATGTCACCAAGCCATTTTATTCTGGATGTCCAGTACCAGATCTTCTGAAGAAAATAATAGCTATTGGCATCCTTTGGGTTCTAGGAATCATAAATACTATGAGTGTAAAGATTTCAACCTGGGTACAGAATATATTTACTGTGCTGAAAATGATGGCACTGAGTCTAATTGTGATTGCTGGACTTGTACTACTTGGGACAGATAAAGGCAATTCAGAAAACTTTAAAGATGCTTTCATCGGTCAAGTTCCTAACGCAGTACAAATTGCAGAGTCATTCTATCAAGGTCTATATGCATTTTCAGGGTGGAACTATTTGAATTACCTCGCTGGTATGTATACACATTCATTTTTTTATTGTATGCATTTTATTTAATGTTTGTTACACATAGCATGTGTGCTTGCCTATTTAGTGTCACCTTGTACAGTAACATAAACACTAGACTAGTGCATTCATTTTCAAACAAATTGTGAGTCATCTGAATATTGGGAGATAGGTTGTTAATGCAAAATCCAAAAGTCCGAAACGCATTATGAGTAAATCACAAAACAAACAAGACATACAATGCATGAAACAGTTTGATTCATGATTCCACTCATTGTGCCAAAAAAAAAAAAAAACAGATGAATGATGGGAAAAATGATGACTGATGGTTAGGGACAGCTACTAAATGTTGAGTTTTTTTCCCAGGTCAAATAGTATTATGTAATAAATATATTTGCTACTTCTCCTCCTCCCCTCCCCCATTTTTTTCCCCTTGGTCTTACTTGATCTAAGAACAAAATGGCACAAAAATTAGCCTATCGGTGTATATTGCACTTATCACTGTTTGTATTTTGCAGTACACCGATTGACCAATTGTTACATCACTGTGGTTCATCCAATTTTCTTCCTCCTGAAACTATCACATGGATGAAATTTGTTCGAACTAAAAAGCTACAAATCAACCTAAAACATTGGATGAAAGTGTGAAACATCAGGTAAGAAATTGGGTGAACCATTTTTTTAAATTTTTTTTTACCTTGCACTAGTCTAATAAACATTGTTTAATTTTTAACAGACATGAACAAACAATCGAGAGGAAATAAATAAAGAAAACAAGTAGACAAAAAGATTGGGATGATCCCCAATATGCCAGTCACTACATGTAGTGTGGTTGAGTGGACCATGGTCTGACAGGAAGTGCTCACTGAGAGTAACAAGCACTTCCTGTCAGACCAGGTCTGCTCAGCCACGCTAAATGGAGGTGAGCAGGTATAAAAGGGGAAGGGAATGGGGAAATGAGTCACAAGGAGGAGCTGGGGGGGAAGGGAGGAGATTGAGACACATGAAGGAATTGAGGAGGATGAAAAATATGGAGGCACTGGGGGATACATAGAGTAGCTGGGGGATAATCAGACACATGGAGGGTGGTGTCTAGTTACACTTCAAGATGTACTTGTAAGTACATACAGCATCACCTACTTATAAGATGCAGAGTGTTACTCTGATGCACCATGTGTTATTTTATAGAGTTTGATAGTTTACCCACTTCTCTATGAGTATTGATGTCCCGAACGGTTCGCCACAGACGGCGAACATATGCGGTAAACTTTGACCCTGTACCTCACAGTCAGCAGACACATTCCAGCCAATCAGCAGCAGACCCTCCCACCTCCTGGACAGCTCACTAAGAATGCAGCTTCACAATGAATGTAAAATGGATGCTGTCCAGGAGGTGGGAGGGGCTGGGAGGGAGGGTCTGCTGCTGATTGGCTGGAATGTGTCTGCTGACTGTGAGGTACAGGGTCAAAGTTTACCGCATATGTTCGCCATCCACGGCGAACCATTCGGGACATCACTATCTATGAGCCATTTATTCAAGATTTTACTGCTATTAGGTTATCATGCATTATGTCTGCATTAGTTGCTTGTCAGAGATTTATATATGACCCCCCAAGTATGTTAGGGTGTACATGGATTTATATTTTCAGGAAATATGAAGGGAGGCTGTGTGACCAACAGCCTAGGAGGTGGTTATGGCTTAAATAAAGACACAGCTCCTGACTGGAGTTAAGTTGAAGAGGTTTTTACTTCTTTTTTATTTTTCTTACATTTTTTTTAACAAAAATGTAACTTGATGTGCATGATGTATATAACTGGTAGCACACATTGTAATAAGTGGTTATTATATTTTACAGTACCTCTCAAGGAACTTGTAGAACGTTAATGGAAGAGCCCTTTAGCCTGGGGAGCAAAATCGTTTAACATTTAACAATAACTCACATAGAAAAATAATTTTCTATTACTCAAAAACAGTATTAGATTTGCATTGATTGTTTTTGTTTTCCAGAGGAGATAAAACACCCAAGCAAGAACATTCCCCACACAGTATTCACGTCCATAACTGCAGTGATTGTGTTCTATCTGCTGGTCAACATCTCATATCTAACAGTGCTCTCACCCAGGGAGATTGTATCTTCAGGTATTGCTGCTAACAATGAGCTACATTCACTTACTTTTGCTTTATTTTTCCTTGTTTATTAACTGCGCACTTACTTTACGCTCAATTTTATAGATGCCATAAAGAGCCATGCTGCTGTTTAAAGGAAATTTCACTTGGAAGTTAGCTTAATTAAGCAGTTTTTGGGAATAGATCATGCCCCTGCAGCCCCACTGCTCAACTCTCTGCCATTTAGAAGTTAAAACACTTTGTTTCTTTCCATGCAGTCATAGCCACACCTCCCTTGGCTGTTACTGACACAGCCTCCATGACAAAATGGTTTAATTTTCAAACAGATGTTTACTTACTTCAGACGTTTTTATCTCTGTCACATATTCATCCGCATATAAAAATGTGGTTAATGACATTTACTGTCCACACAGGAAAAGTTGTGCCGAGCAGCAACCAAATCCACAGAAGGGTTAATGCTGAGCAGCAATTATACAAATGGTAACCTGGTAACTGCCTTTGGGGTCAAAGGCCTGTTACAGCCTATCAGATCTAGAGGAGGGGTATTTAGGCCCAGTTCTCATCCTGCTCAGTGCCCTGTCGTGGTTTCCCTTGTGGTTGTCCGAGAGCGCGTTATTGATTCTGGTAATTCTGGTTATTTGACTTTGGCATTGTTTTTAACTTCCCTTTTTTCTGGCATCCCTGACTCCTGGCTTTTCCTTATCGTTGTGTCTCTTTCTGTTTCCCTTGACCTTGGCTATTCCTGACTATTCTTTGGTACGTTAGTCCGGCCATTCTAAGGTCCGGTATACGTTACCTATCAGTCCTCTGTGTTACACAATTCTACGTGCTGGATCATTCTGTAATCCTGACATTACGACAGGGCCATAGATCCTGTAGAATTGTGTAAGCACATAGCTGCTTGCGACAGGAAACTAGAGGAGAATGATCACCGCTTGAATCAATTTGCCCAGGCTTTCAGTACGCTTCTTACTCGTACAGCGCATCTGCAACCTGCGGCTGCTCCTACTGTCTCACCTCCGTCTTGTGTACCTCCGCCTATAGTATACAAGGCACCAACTATCTCTTTATCTCCTCCTCTGCATTTTGATGGTAATTTCCAAGAATGCCGGGGATTCCTTAACCAAATAGAGTATCATTTTGAGGCCTCACCGGGATCTTTTCCACAGACAGAGCTAAAATTGGTTACCTGATGAATCAATTAAAAGGTAAAGCTTTAGTTTGGGCCAATCCATTATGGGAGAGTAATAGGAGTGTGGCACACAATTACCAGGTGTTTATTACGGAATTTAAACTTACGTTTGAACCATTAGGCAGGGAGGAGGACGCCTCTACCACCCTGATGCATATCAGACAAGGGAACCAGTTTATCTCGGAGTATGCCATAGAATTTCGTACCCTAGCTTCCGAGGTAGACTGGACTAATAGTGGGTTAATCTCTGCATTTAAAAAGGGACTATCTGAAACTATGCTTGATGAGATTGCCCCCAAAGACTTACCCAAAAAGCTTAATGAATGTATCACTTTTGTCATGCAAATTGATAATAGATTGAGAACCAGAGAAGCTACTAGAAACAAGACCAGACACATGAATATGCCTTTAGCACCCCACTTCTCCAAACCTATTGTCCCTGAATTTCCTGTACAGTCTGAACCCATGCAGTTGGGGGTCACTAGACTGTTGGAAGCAGAAAGACAATATAGGAGAAAAGAAGGCCTATTACTATACTGCGGTAGAAAAGGGACATATGAGAAACAATTGTCCCATACGTCCGGAAAACTACTGCACCTTAAGGGGACAGGTCTTAGGTTTAATGGAAACGTCCTCTGGAATGGATAAAAATAGGTTTCTCCTTGATATTTCTATTGCCTTTCAAAAGAAGAACTTTTCTAACTGTAATTTGATGGGGACCTTTCCCCCCCCCCTTTTTTCTACTTTCTGTACCCCTACCCACTTAAATATGACAAAATAAAAATTGTCAAATTGAAAAAAAAAAAGAAGAACTTTTCATGCAAAGCCCTGATGGATTCAGGTGCCGCTGGAAACTTCATTGACGTTCAATTTGTTAAAGGTAATACTATACCTTTCAAGGAGAGACTATCACCTCTAGCTGTTGAAGCTATTGATGGGAGACCACTCTCACAACCATTGATTACACGCGAAACCTTACCCATTAATTTGTCCATTGGTGCCTTACATAAGGAAGAGATTACATTTCAGGTTATTGCATCCCCTTTCTGTCCGATCATATTAGGCTTTCCATGGCTTAACCCTCATATTTTTTTTTAATGAATATAATTTTTATTTATTCTTGTGTTACTTATGCGGAGATCGGAGACTCGCAGGTCTCTAAGGTGAGTAGTCATAATTTTTCCTTGAAAACAACAATGTATGTTTGGGCTCGCAGGCCCACAATGTTGACGGACTTGCAAGTCCCTATTTTCCAGGTTCACAAGCACCTTCAAGTACATCTTACCATCTGTCATTTGTTTTCCTAATTGGGTTTTGTTTACATGGTTTATACGTTTCATGTATAGTAGCCGGTGGTCTCCTTATGTTTGTGTTGAGGTTCGCAGACCTCGTATGCAGCCTTTATTGTTAGGTGCAGTTCAGGTCCCTAAATTTAGTGTTGGGCTTTATGCCTGTAGCAGATTAATGTGAGTCTCCCCTTAGTGTCCCGGGTGTCCTGTATCTAGGGTATAATGTACCTGTGTTGAGAGGGTTATGACTCATATTTCGGGGGGGTTTGAACGTGGTTCGTTGCTGCCCTCAGGCTATGTTGTGGTTATCCCGTCTGCTCGGTTTATGTTTCATTAGGGTCGTGTCTCTTGGAATTTATGAGTTGTGTGTGAACCCGTATGGGTTTTCCGTTCAGGGCCCTAGTGTCTCCTCTATATGAAATAATTTCTGCTTTGATTGGGGTATCGTCCTGTGTGGGTCTTTAGGAGAGAGGGGGTGGGAAAGGTCGGGGTTAGGGTGAGGAGGGAGGTGTCTGTAGTCGTTGTCTCCGTCGTCTGTCGTCTAGTGGGTGTTCTAAGCCTTAACCCTCATATTGACTGGGCTAATGGGGAAATATTAGAATGGGGTAAGGATTGCTATGAAAGGTGTATATTGAATGTTGCCAAAAGAGTGGGCACTATTGGATTACCAAGATATGTTACAGTATCCCAGTGAGTAGTATCAATCGAAATAAAGACTCTAACACTTTAGTGAGTTTTCCCTTAAAACCTCACAGCAAACAATAATATACATACAATTTAAGGTGGAGTTACCCACTAGTACACCTCAAAACCCGGAAATCCCTATACAGTACCAAGACATTAAAGAAGTATTCAGCAAAACTCAGTTCATTATTTATTCTCCTGACATTCAGACTCACCGCGATCACGTTAGACAAGTTCTGCAGACCTTGTTAAAGAATCAACTTTATTGTAAATTAGAAAAATGCATATTTGACCAATCTGAAGTACAGTTTTTGGGATATAATATCTCTGCCTTGGGGTTTCAGATGGATCCTAAAAAGCTGAAATCGGTTCTACAATGGCCTTTACCCACAGGGTTGAAAGCCATTCAAAGGTTAATTGGTTTTGCCAGATATTACAGAAGGTTTATAAAGGGATTTTCTTCAGTAATAGCCCCCATCACCAATATGACACGCAAGGGGGTTAGCATTACGATATGGTCTAAGGAGGCTATAGAAGCCTTTGAAAGTCTCAAACAGCGGTTTGCCTCCACCGACATATTGAAACATCCTGACACCAGTAAACCTTTCATACTGGAAGTTGATGCATCAGAGATAGGGGTAGGGGCAGTTCTTTCCCAGAGGGAGAGCCAGAATACTCCATTGCATCCTTGTGGTTACTTCTCTAGAAAGTTGTCTCCTGCCGAGCGCAATTATGATATTGGCAATAGGGAATTGTTGGCCATTATTCTAGCTCTCAAGGAGTGGCAACATCTTTTAGAGGGTTCCAAGGACCCCCTTTTGATCATTACTGATCACAAAAACCTGGCTTACATAGGAGATGCTAAACGATTGTCTTCTAGACAAGCTAGGTGGTCTCTGTTCCTTTCTCGCTTTACTTTTCTTATTACTTATAGACCTGGTTCTAAAAATGTCAAGGCTGACGCCTTATCCAGACAGTTTGATACAGAGTCTATACAAGAGCAAGAAAAGTCCCATATCATTGCTTCCACTATCCTTTCATTGTCCTCTCCGCTGCTTGGCTCCATCATGGAGGCTCAGTCTCAGGCGCCCTGCGGTAAACCTCAGGACAAATTGTTCATTCCATTGGGGGAAAGGGTTAATATCATGAATGTGTTTCATGACAATGTGTCTGCTGGTCACCCAGGTATTAATAAATCTACTTCTGCTATCATGAGGTCATTCTGGTGGGATTCCCTCAGGAAGGATGTTAAGGAGTATGTGCAGGCTTGTTCTGTTTGTGCAGTTTCCAAAGGACCTCATAAACTCCCTTGTGGCTTGTTACAACCTCTTCCCGTTCCTGAGGTCGCATGGTCCCACTTGTCTCTGGATTTCATTGTAGAACTTCCTAGTTCTAATGGTTATACCACTATTCTCATGGTTGTTGACCGTTTTTCTAAAATAGTTTACTTCATCCCTCTCAAGAAATTACCATCATCTCAAGACCTGGTACTGATCTTTATACGTGAGATTGTCCGTCTGCATGGCATTCCTCACAATATTGTATCTGATAGAGGTTCTCAGTTTGTATCCTGGTTTTAGAGGGCTTTCAATAAGCAATTGGGGATTGAATTGTCTTTTTCATCCTCTTACCACCCCCAGACTAATGGTACAGCTGAGAGGCCCAACCAGTCTTGGAGTTATACTTGCGTTGTTTCGTTAATAGCACTCAAGACAATTGGTCAGAATTATTACCATGGGCCGAGTTTGCTAGGAACAATGCTGACCATGACTCCTCTGGGCATAGTCTATTTTTTGTTAATAATGGCCGGCATCCTAATGTCCTACTGGCTGTTTTTTCTGATACGGCTATTCCTGCCTTGGATGACCGTCTGGCTTCCATCTGTGATACCTGGGTTAAAGTTCAATCTGCTCTGGGTACTACTGCTGACACGTCGAGTACCCAGAGTGGGTGAGAGGGTTTGGTTATCTTCTCGTAACATCAGGCTCAAAGTCCCTAGCATGAAATTTGCTTCTAGGTTCCTTGGACCTTTTCATGTTCTTTGTAGGATCAATCCTGTTGCGTACTTTCATGTGTCCTTGCTCAAACCTCTTGTTTGCAATAAATATACTGTCTCAAGTGTCCCCCCTCCTCCCTTAGTTGTTTCTGGACAGGAAGAGTATGAGGTCTCCTCCATAATTGATTCCAGGTTTTCTCGGGGCACTTTACAGTACTTGGTGGATTGGAAAGGTTATGGACCAGCCAAACGTTCTTGGGTTCCGGCATCTGATATACATGCTGGCCGCAAGATTCGCTATTTTCACGCCAAATTTCCTCTCAAGCTTGGCCCTGCCCGCCCGGTGGGCGTTCTTCAGGTGCGGGGTAATGTCACTTATTCATCCGCTTATAAAAATGTGGTTAATGACATTTACTGTCCACACAGGAAATGTTGTGCCGAGCAACAAACAAATACACAGAAGGGTTAATGCTGAGCAGCAATTATGCAAATGGAAACCTGGTAACTGCCTTTGGGGTCAAAGGCCAGTTATAGCCTATCAGATCTAGAGGAGGGGTATTTAGGCCCAGTTTTCATCCTGCTCAGTGCCCTGTCGTGGTTTCCCTTGTGGTTGTCCGAGAGCGCGTTATTGATTCTGGTAATTCTGGTTATTTGACTTTGGCAGTGTTTTTGACTTTCCTGTTTTCTGGCATCCCTGACTCCTGGCTTTTCCTTATTGTTGTGTCTCTTTCTGTTTCCCTTGACCTCGGCTATTCCTGACTATTCTTTGTACGTTAGTCTGGCCATTCTAAGGTATTGTATTCGTTACCTATCAGTCCTCTGTGTTACACAATTCTACGTGCTGGATCATTCTGTAATCCTGACAATCTCCTACTCAGTAAATTGAACTTTAATCACACTCAGGAGGCTCCTACAAGGTCTAACAAACTATTAACAGAGAAAGAGATAAGACATTTTAAATTAAACAGAATTTTATTTAAAGGAAGTGTAACCATTAGATCTCATGTTACAGGAAGTGTTTAGAAAGGCTTTGTAATTCAAATGCAGGAAGGTGTGCCTAGGGTGCATAAACAGAGTGATTTAACCTAGATGGCAGAGAATTCAGCAGTGGGACCTGCAGAGGCATGCTCGATACATCACAAATGCTTTATTAAGCTAAAGTTTTTTTAGAGACTATAATGTCCCTTTAAAGATCTATATATTTAGTATTATGTCTCACAGAATGGCTTTTAGGTGCAACCCAGCTCTGTCAGCAAATCTGTTTTGGCCAACTAAGTGCATGCTTTGTGTTACGCTGGCAATATATAGATATATCTGTAATTAAGTTATAACTGCAAACTGCAAATGTTTATTACTGATTTTCTTCCCTGTAAATATTAAAAAAAGAAAATAAAAACATGCCGGAGTCTGGAAGACTCCTGCCTGTTCTAAAGCAAGCACCATACAGCATTCAACTTTTCAGTTCCTTATGTGCTTATCTCACTCATAGCACTGAATGGGGGGAAAGGAGAAGCAAACTACTAACAGGATGCATGCTGAAGTTTTTGTGACTACCGCATATAATTACTGAGAAACAATAATCTCTTTCAAAAACAATTAAATAGATAAATAAATAAATACAAATGTGGGGTATGCTGGACCCTAAACAAAATGGGTTTGGAGGGTGACGAGTGACCTTCACCATTTACTCCTCCCAGGGCTTTCAGGTGGAGGATTATTGTTTAACAGGGGATGGAGATGCTCAATTTTTGACAAACAATAGACTTCTCCATTAATGTGCTTGTCTAGTAACATGTATATTGAGTGAAGAGTACTTGCTAATCAGAACACTGAGATTGATGGGATTCCAAGCCAATCAATCACAGTGCTGTGACTGAATATTCAAAGCAAAGAGGTCTATATAAAGCAAAATAAATAAACAAAAAATTAAATAAAATAATAGATTTAAACCCTTTGCGACTCATGATGAAGATTTTCCATCAATGTGGTCCTACCGTTAAGGAAGTATGGCAGGAAATTTCTGTAATTTACTAAAGTTAACCCCAGATCACAGCGATTGCTCCGATCGTGAGGTTAAAGCTGCTGCAGTCTGCCTTTGTGTCTGAGGCAGACGAGCAGCACCCAATCACGCCATTCCTGCACATGTGACTGCTCATGTCAGAGCAAGCACATGTTCTTCGGGGACTTCGGACCCGCCTCCCTGCACTTCCATGTTCAGTGTGAAGTGCAAGGAAACGGATCAGCGCCGATCCTCTTTTCTCTGTAAAAAATTTTTTATTTAAATAAAATCTCACCCTCTTTACCCAATCCTAATAAAAATTAACCCCCTCTATGCCAGTTGATCACTGCCTGCATTTAGCTAGCTGGGCTGGGTGGAAGTTAGTGGGGAATTGGGGAATTTGGGGTTAGGTTAGCAATGGGTTAAGAGTAGAAAAAGTTTTAAAAAGTAAAAGAAAATGATTTAATAATGATTAAAAAAGTTTTAAAAGGTAAAAAAAAGTTAATCAAGTTTAAAAAGGTACAAAAAATGCTTATTACCACTACACTTGGTAGAAGCTAGCAAAAGAATTATCCAACGCTAAGGTTCACAATATGCCTTTTGAAATACTCCAGGGTGTATTCTTTAAGAAATGGTATGCGTTTGTGGTTTAATTTGAATAATTAACCTGCTAACCTACTCCAGAATGAGACATGGACACAGCGTAGAAAGTTTGAAAAAAAACTGGAATGGCTGTGTCTCAAATGTGCCCGTGCAACGTCCACATATACCTGGCAAAGTAACATATGGGGATATTGCTGTGTCAGAAAGGTAGAAAAAAATGCTTATTGCCACTACACTTGAAAAATTATCCCACGCTAACATTCAAATAAGCGTTTTGAAATACCCTGGGATATCTTCTATTAGAAATGGTATGCCTTTATGAGGTAGTTGGAATATGTAGCCTGCTAAAGTGCTCCAAAATGGAACACAAACCCATAAAAACCATCAATGGAAATTAACACCCAAAAACCTTAAATTATCACATCTCTTTTACAGCACTGTAACTTCACAAAATAGTGTCTAATTCATACATTGGGCATATTGTTTCAGTTAGAAGATGTAACTGAGTGTAATTTAGGGAATCATTCAGTGTCTCTTCCCTCTGCATGATGACACTGGACTTTTCTAATAGATATTGTGACAAACTTACTGCCCTGTGTGTGTTTGTCCAGGATCTTTTGGCAACTGCACAGCCCTCTAGGGTAAGGAAACCAGGCCAAGACAAAGTCTAGTTTCAAAGGCCTCTGTCCTGTTTATTTTCTGTTGTTAAGAAGTAGCAGGATACAATACGCAGCAAACCTTCTTTCTCCTCAAAACACTTCCCTCACTCCACCCTGCTTTAACTGCAGTTATATAGCTGCTCACAGCCCCTACAGGTGAGGCTAATGAAGGCAGTGAGCCAGAACTCCTCAGAATACCTGGGCTGGACTCATACACAGCCACTCTGACAGTTGGTGGAGAATCGTCCCACCCTGCTCTTCCGAATACTCCAACTCAGAGACCCAAATAACAACATAGAAAAAAACCCTACATTTCAAGTTAACTTTCCCTGGGGCTGCATGTGCTTACCCACATTTCAGGATAGTGGCTGTGTTACAGTCTGGGTGCCAGATATACACCCCTGACCACCATCACCAACACTCTGTCACAATATGCATTAATTCAATACATCTCTTTGAGGAGATGTTGATTGGCTAGGGCTGTGTTTGGCTTTGCCCCGATCTGCCTCCTTGACAGTCTCAGCCAATCATAATTGGCTCAGAACAACACTTCTGATGATGTCAGCCACGCAGGCAGATTATGTGCAGAGCCAGCAGCTGCAGACTTGAACAACAGTATGATTTTACTATATTTAGAGGGGCAAGGGAGGGACAGGGGGGCTAGATGGGGGTCTTTCTAATTACATGGTGGGGCATTGCAAACCATAGCATGTATTAATTTTAGGGCTCAAAATTTCAAGCTGCATGCTACTAGACTGGCCTAAAAGTTCTGCAACTCTGGCGAGTCAATGGCACACACCAGGCATGCATTTCACTCCTGGCACTCATTTCGATGTTACTTTGACACGTATCACTACAGTCGACATACACCCCTTCATGGCATTACCTCTGCTGAAATCTCTTTTCTTCCAGTCTCAATGTCAGACCTCAATTGTACAATTCTGTTAATGAACAAATCACCAGAGAGCTGTTTATACAGACATTGTAATTATTGAAAACATACCTACCGAGATGCTTTTTTTTGTATATTAATAAATGCATGCTTTCTAATCCATCTTCATATATAATGTCTTCCATTCCCTTATTAAATGCTTTTGGCATTAACTAAAAGAAGCAATATATGGTTTCTAATTATAATAGTTGGTAATTGTAATCAATATTTAGCATTTCATGGTAATTACTCACATGGAGATGTTATGTAATTGCAGCTGCAGTCTCGGTAACATGGGCTGATAGAACAATTCCAACAGTGGCCTGGATTATCCCTGTGTCAGTTGCTGTCTCAATATTTGGTTCTCTCAACGGTGGCATATTTATGTTAGGAAGACTAAACTATGCTGGAAGCAAGGAGGGTCACCTGCCATCCATCATATCCATGATTCATGTGCAATATTTAACCCCAGCACCAGCCATGATCGTCTCAATAATTATAGCATCTATTTTCGTCATCCCTTCTGACCTCCTCTCTCTAACAAACTACTTTTCATTTTGTTTCTGGCTTTTGATTGGCCTGACTACCGTAAGTCTGATTGTTCTACGTTATCGTGAACCTAATCTTCACAGGCCATACAAGGTAAGATATTTAATTAACACATATTTTCTTTAAGGTTTTAATGAACTACAATTGCTATATTTTCTTGCAATAAAATTTAATAGTGTAGCTATTAAAGGGAAGATCTTAAAACAAATAAATTATTAGTTGTTTTACGTTCACTTCACAATTTACCTTAATCAAACTCAGCAATGTGTGTCTCAGAAGATTTACAAACTATTTCAAAGATTGCAATATATAATCAGAAACATTTTGTACTGCTATTTGTGTCATAACTCGACAAATATTATAATATTTCTGTTAGCTCTTTAAAAAGAGCTTTACGTTTCATTTATACATGGTGCTAGCAGTTTTATTTTGAAAATATTTTTTTTATCTGACATGCGCATAGTCTTCTGCTCTTCTGTTCTCCACCTAAAGCAACCACAGAACCTTCACTGTGATTGCTATGGAAAACTCTAGCCAGTGCTGCTAGTGGCTAGGGAGTATAGGAATAGAGTAACATGAAACCAGCTTGTTGTTGTCACTATAAGAAGGTTTGCCCTGTTTTGAGAAGTTACCCCAAGCAGGGCAAAGCACTAAAGAGCAGAGGAGGAGCGTGGGCTCTCTGATGCGATCATAACAGGGGGTGTTCCTTTTAAGCACAAACTAACGTTTGTCTTTTTTTTCTGTTCCAGGTCTTCCTTCCAATTGCATATGGAGTTGTTGCAGTGACTTTATTTTTAGTGATTGCTCCAATCGTACAAAGTCCAAAAGTTGAATATTTCTATGCTTTGCTGTTTATGTTGAGCAGCCTGATTGTGTATTTTCCGTTTGTATATTTCAAGTTGCGTCTACCCTACTTTGATAAGATCACATGCTTTTTACAGCTTTTCCTTGAAGTGTCACCCACTAATATATATGAAGACTGTAAAGATCAGTAACATTGACAACTAATTTCAAACTGATGTTCTGTAGGCTTAAAGTGGCACTACCTGCACTGTAACTGCTACAGGTCATTGCATTGATTATGGTGCTTTGAGTCTTTCCCCCAGATTCGTGTCAACATCTTTTCAAGAGGATGAACTTTTGCATTAGTTGTCTGACTCCCTTTAAGTAAACGGCGCTACCAGGCAGGCTCCACCACGCAGGCTCGCCGCCTAGGTCATGTTCTCTTTGACTCCAACCTCTCCTTAAGCCCTCATGTTCAGTCTATTGCCAAATCCTGCCGCAGCCATCTACTGCTGCGCCTATCTCAAAAACACTGCACGCATTTGCCCATACTGAATGCCAGATGCGGCTAAGGTGCTGGTTCATGCCACTGTCCTCTCTTGCTTTGACTACTGTAATCCGCTTCTCAGTGGACATACATGCTCCCAACTTGAGCTGTTACAGTCTATAATGAATGCAACATCGAGGCTCATCTTTTTGTCTGCCCACACTTCCCACGCCTCACCCCTCTGTTAGTCCCTGCATTTGCTTTCCATACCATATAGGGCTCAATTCCGGTTCTTGCTTTCAAATCTCTACACATTGCTGCTTCCATCTATCTATCCTCCCTAATACACAAGTATGTCTAGTCTAGGCCCCTATGCTCTGCAGAAGACTTCCATCTATCTTCTGTTCGTACTCCCACCTCTGATGCTCACCTTCCTGTTGAACTCTCTTCCCTCTTCTGTTAGATGCTCACCCAGTCTTCACTCCTTCAAAAAATCATTAAAACCTCACTTAGAATCCAAACCAAGTAGTCAACAGCGAAGCGCTTATTTTAAGTAAAGTGAATAAAGTACAAATAATATCATCAAATACCTTAATAATATTGGTGTATAACCTCATACAAAAAGGGCTATATGAAAGATATATACAGTAGGGCAAAACCTTATAGAAGAACAATTTAAAATATGTGACAATGGAACACTCTTATAGTACTGAGCTTAGAACCAAGCTCTGGTGTACACAACAGTGGGGTCGTTTAGGCGACCCTCCCCTCCATACTGCCGTTGTCTTTTTTAGCCATTCCTGTATAATGGCTTGAGAAAAACATATATTGAGCAATATAGTATATTATGGTGAATTCTTTTACTATAATAAATATGGTACTCACTAAAGTTAGAGCCCGGGAATAGGCTGAAGAAAAGCGCAATGTACAGTTTGGGACAACACTCCCATCTTTACATAAAGCGAAACCAGATATCATAAATGAGCTTAAAATGTATTAACTAATATATTTATAATACAACAAAATAATAAAATCAAATACATAAAGCAATATGCAATATATACTTCAATTTCTTATAGATCCCCAGGAAGCATTTCACCAGTCCTCCACCGGCTTCCTCAGCTGGACAAGTCTCTAAAGATCAGTGATATTGACAACTCATTTCAAACTGATGTTTTGTAGGTCTATAGTGCCACTACAGGCACTGTTACCTCTTCAGCTTTTTGTAGTGGTTATGGTACTGTATGACTTTTGATGCCATCCCCCATATTTGTGTCAACGTCTTCTCAAGAGGATGAACTTCTGCATTAGCTGTCCAACCATGGGTGCAATGAAAACAGAGGGTGCTTGACTAATCTAGCACTATGGCTTGCTACTATCATTACCATTTGAAGTTCATGTCATCCAACTCACATCAGAGTGGTCAGCTTTAGATGCCAGGAAAGCGGATTTTTTTTCCACACCTCTAGAAAATAGTTTGACACAAACAGAAAACGGTACCCACAAATAATTGTGACAAGCTGTAGTTGTTATAGTACTCACACAGTATTGCTATAACAATGAAAGGTCTGCTATTTTAAAATTGTATCCATGATGTAGTGGACTGCTTAACATGTTATGGTTTGCTAAGATATTTGATTTTATGTAGCCTTGTAAAATGTAGTTACTTTTTTTTTTGTATGTTCCTTAACCTGTATTTTTTTTTCATCAGATTCTGTCTGATTTTTTTGTTACATAATCAAAAATTAAATTTAAATATGCATTGCTTAAATTATCAAGATGCTTCACATTACTTTAATGAACTGTCTAGAGGCACCACCATAATATATATTTTCTTCGTATAAAAATGTTTTTATTGCTGCAGATTGCCAAAGCTGTTTGAAAACTCATAGGGCAGGAGGACATCCGTATCCTATCTACTACCATTGATACACGTGATATGCCCTCAACTTGTTTTAAATTTACATGTAATAAATGCATTTATGCTTTTATATATAAGAGCATCATGCGCTATTATATAGTTTTTGTTTTGTGTAGCTAGGTTTGAAAAACTTTTTACATTTACTCATTATATTTAATAAAGTTGACAGATGATTACTTTCACAAATTTGAGAGGTTAATCAAATAGATTATAATCAAATTATAACACCAAAAAGTGGTGTTATATACATTTCATGGAAAATTATATGAAGAATGGACTTATACCTGGTGGTCTGAGAACAGAAAACTGATGTTCACAGAACAGAGACTATTTTAATTCATGATAGTAACAATCAAATATGAAAAGGTCATTGTCATAGTAGCCCTTCCCCCTTAAAATAATATATTGCTTACTTCCATTTCAGTGCAGAGGCTACTTTTCCTGGCAGCTTGATTCTCTTCCAGTATATCCAAGATGAGGCATCAGGTACTCACAGGTTTAAAAAAATAAAGTAGATTTACTGCATCAAAAATGCAACAGAGCAATGTTTAACCCCTTAAGGACACACGACGTGTGACATGTCACAATTCCTTTTTATTCCAGAAGTTTGGTCCTTAAGGGGTTAAACCTAAACAAAGGTCTTCCAGTGACTTCACTCCTCCTCATTGGAAGTGAAGGGACGTCCTGGAGTGTGGGCTGAGCGGAGGACATGGGTGGCACGAAGGAGGGATGTGTCCCCACTGGTTGACAATTGCCAGCATGCTGTGTGTTCTAATTACAGGTGTCTAATATGCAAAGAACTGACATTAGAAAGCCAGGAAAAGTAGTTCTTGGCTTTCTGTTACACCACCAACAACATAGGGCCAGATCTCTGTATGTGCAGTGTTTCATAGTGTAACATTGTATAACACAAAATCCAAGCCCCGTTGTGTATCAGTAAAGAGGGATGCACTGTGCCGAGCAGTGCTGTCACTCAGTATATAATTTTGTGTTCTGTATATATATATATATAGCCTCAAGTATATTGTATATATTCAAAAATTATTATGACATTGCTCATATGATATCAACCCCACATTGCAGATTGCTGCCTCTTTGGGAACACACACTAATATGGTTACACACACATACACACTCTGATACATGTACACACATACACACATACACAATGATGAACAGAGACATACAATGACACACACATTGCCAGATACAGACACACAATTACAGTATCTGTCTGGCAGTGTTTATTGGTTCCTGTGTGTGCACATCTGGTATTATGTATCTGTGTGTACAGGTATGTACCTATGTGTATGTGCCTGGCAGTGAATATGCTCATGCATCTGTGAGTGTATATCTGTGTGGATGCATGCAAGCATAACTTATTTTTAAGTGAAACACTGAGAAATTATAATGGAGTGCTATATAAAAATAACATAGCCATATAACTTGTTTTGGGGTGGAAAAGCACAAGGTGCATATAGAAAATAAAACAAACATAATAGTATCTACTGCAGTACTGCAGTATTGAATAAACAAATGGTGAAGTAAAAAAATGTGAGATGATGCACTCATATTCAGGAGATCATTTAAATAATTGGCTCAGATCTTTTGTGTTGATGTGCTTTTAAGGCATCACCCCATATTTCTTCTGAATAGAACTCTCAAAGAGAACACACAATTGAGAGACCAATAGAGTAATGAAAAAAAAAATCAACAAAACATTTAAAATAACCACAAAGGAAATTTGCTCACCTTTCTCATAGCCCAAACGTACCTGGCTTTAAGGTGTAGGAGCATTGTCTCAAAGCAGCATGACACTCCCCCTCATAACCAATGTGGTCCGCTGGATCTTGTTAAGCAATGGACTTTACCAAACCAGTATAGCTTTCACACATTTATTATTAAAAACAATAAACAAACCATAAAAAAGCAGTCAAGCAGACCAGATATGTAATCCTGTAAACTGAGATGCATTTCTCTTAGCAGCTTCTTCAATAAGTATTCAAATGTCCAACTTTTAAATCCATGTGGTATTTCTCTTCCAGGATCACATGGTCGAAAAACTGTTCTTTGTTTAGGAAAGCCATTGAATGATACAGTTGTCTCAAAGGGATGCATGTCCATTTAACAAACACACAAATTATTACGTTTAGAGTTTTGTGAACGGGAACATTGATCACCAACCTGTATGCTTTTTCAAATTTTGACAGAAAACAAATCTTCAATAATGTTTATTTTTACTTTTTCCACAATGTCAGTGTATACATAGCCAATTTATTAAGAAGATAAGAAGATAAGAATACCCATTCATTATCTTACCTTAATAAACAGAAGCAAGACGTTGATGGTGACAAACAGGCCACAGCTTTATTAATATCAATAAATATATAAATAACATTAGCTTATTAAACACTATACATTAACATAATGTAACCATAAACATTCCCAATTCCACCCCTTTGTCGACCATTCCTGCTAATCCTAGGCACCTGCCTCCCACCTCGTCCAATACAGCAACCGGCCTCACAACTGGCCTAACATTAACTCCATGCTAACCACTGGCCTGCCTCTGGCTCAGTGGGCACGTACATTACCCATAATCATAACTGTGATTAGGGGAGGGATCAGCTCCGATCATCCTTTGCCACTGGACCGCTAGTCCAACCCTGATTGACAATGACCTTTTCTGCCAAACTCTGTGACAAGAAACACAAGTTAGAAACATAAACCATAAACCATAACACAAAGGGAAGGAGGGAAGCTGTTCCAAGCTTTTACAGAAATGACCACCTATATATATGATAACCACCCTTTACCCAGGGCTCCACCCCTGATACTCACTCAAGACCTCCCCTGCCCTGGATTTACACTTCCCTCACTCACACATGCCCCTTTTCCTGGCTAGCCTTTGGCCTGCCTTCTCAGGCTCTTACACACATACATTAGTCACCCTCCTGTTTCCTACCTTTTAGATGCAGGAGGATGACTTCCCTGGTGTCTGGTGGTGGCTCAGGCTGATGGGAGTCAGAGTTTCCACTCTGACTCCCTCCTTTCCTTCCTCCCATGTGGCACTGTGTGTAAGCTGGAAAGAGTGACTGGGGCAGTCACTTCCTCCCAGCTCCGATGTTATCACAGGGGGCCCGGTCGCGCTGTTAAAGCGCCGCAGCGCTGACCGGGCCCCCTAGTAATACTTTGCCATCAGGTGGCCCTAACAGCATGGGCCACCTGATGGGCCCCTGAACATGTGACCATGGCGGTTCTACCGTGCTGGCCAGGGCTGCGACCCCTGCGACCATGCTAGTTCCGCCACTGTGTAAATTTATTATTCACACTGATTGGAATCTGGCTGGCTCACCAATATATATATTTATAAATCATACTTGATTGTTAATTCATAATAATTCATAGCCTTATATATTCTTCTTTCATCTGGAAAAATTGTCTCACCTGAGGTAAAATACATAGAATTCTTCTGTATTACATAAAAATATAACACAATCAGATGTATTTACATTTTTCATAAAAAAACAAAAACAAACAAACCTAATTATTTAAGCTTAGAGGGATTCTATAGTGCCAGGAAAACAAATCTGTTTTCTTGTCACTATAACTCCCTACAGTGCCCCCCCTCCCATGGTGCTGAAGGGGTTAAAACACCTTCCATCACTTACCTGAATCCAGCGCCGATGGCTGTGCTCGCATTAGTATTTTCCCATAGGAAAGCATTATTTAAAGTTTTCCTATGGGGAAAAATCTGACGCTGGTCCTAATGCCTTCTCTGGAACTGCAATGTTTACCATTGCAGCACTTGGTGTAAAATTAACACAGCACCAAGACCACTACAATAAGCTGAAGTGGTCTGGGTGCCTACAGTGTCCCTTTAACTAAATGGTCAAGTGCTGATAGTACGTGCTGGGCATTCTGAGTGCCAGGTGAAGATACTGTGCCCCTGATGTACTGTGTCTCTCCTTACAGATCAAATATATACTATATATCTCACAAATACGTTGTTACTAATAAATACACTAAGAGGAAAAAACAAACACAACAAAATTAAATACTTATCAGTAAACAGAAAAACAGCTTCCCACTGAACACCTCCCAATTAGTGTTACATCTAAACAAGCGAAGAAATACAATATGTGTGGGATTCAGCTGATGAATCTAAAATCAAAATAAAATAAAACATAGCATAATACAGTTTTAGAAATGTAATATTTCCTGCTATAGATTGCACTCACAGGATGTTGAAAGTATATGCGCTCTATTGGTGCCTCCCCTGATGTTTTGGGGGCTAGTGTCTCCCTCTTAGGATCAAATATCACCCGGTATCAGGAACCATGCAGGACTCCAACAGGTAGATAGGTAAAAAGGAGGTTTATTGGTTATAAAAAGTATAAAAAGGATTGGTCTTACGCGTTTCATCCACCAGGGGACTTCCTCAGAGACCAGTATACAATAAAACACAGTGAGTATAGTAAATAATGCTCCCAAAAAAATAGCAGCCTGTTCATTGAGCTGAAGTGGTCTGGGTGACTATAGTGTCCCTTTAAATATACTTAGCCATTTGCACTGCTTCCTACTGTGTTTAGTCTATTTTGGTTCTGACACAGCTTATACAATTATGTGCTCTGTGAAGTTTTTAAGTAGCTTTTTTTCACACAAGCGGAAAAACAAAAATTTAATGCATACATGCTTTAGCTTTTGTAATCATTGGCAATTAACAGGCTTTCCTTTGGTTTTACTCCTACCTTGCTTGCTGAATAACACTTTATTTCACATAATTGATTGAATAATCCATGCTTACTAATGACTAGCATTTAAAGATGAGCACAGCTATTGAAAGGAAACAAAGCCCGAATGAATGTATTGGCTTTGGAAACAGTTTAATTCAACACAAACAACTTTACTTTGGAATACAGGCTATTATTTAAGCACAGGCAGAACCCTATTTAATGAATTATGTAAGAAAATACTTTTATCAGTATTTCTTCATCCTGATGGAGTATATCCTGATCATATGCATATATTTCAAGGAACAGTTAAATACAATTGGAAATTAAATCATTAATGATTATCTCCATAAAGCATACACAATGAACAATGTGTTTCAACAGTCTAGGCACCATAAATGTTACTGATGCAAATGTTGTGGTTATCTGCTGTGAAACTGGGGGATGAGAGGAGGAGGGTGGAGAGGGAATGTGGGGACAAGTGACTCAACATCTGTGACTGTGTTTGTGTCAGTATGTCTGTCAGTGTATGTGTGTATCAGTATGTCTGTCAATGCATGTATCTGTGTGTCTGTAAGTAGTCATTGTGTGTATCTGTGTATCTGTATATAGTGAGTGTGTGCATATGTGTATCTGCATGTGTGTCAGTGTTTCTATCTGAGTGTATGTGTATCTACATGTGTGCCAGGTTGTGCATCTGTGTGTCTGTTCGTGTGTTAGTGTGCTAATCTGTATGTTGTCAGTATGTGTATATGTGTGTGTTTATGTGCCAGTGTGTATATCTGTGTGTGTATCTGTGCTTCTGTATGGACTCAATGTGTGTGTCTGTGTTTCTGCATGTGTGTCAGTGTATGTGTCTTTGTGTCTGTGTATCCGCATGTGTGTCATGTTGTGTATCTGTGTGTGTGTGTCAGTATCAGTATGTGTGTCAGTCTGTATATATGTATGTACTTCTAGGGGATTCAGCACTCTTTCTGTATAGTGTAGGTGCAAGCTGCCAAGGCTACTCCCCAATCACCTTCACAAAATAAAAAGAATGATGGAGCCGCAATACAAGTTATTTACATGAAGATTTTTTCCACAATGAAGTGGACGCAGCAACGATTTAACACATACAGTGTCTTTGTCAAAGACACTGCTTGACAAAGACACTGTATGTGTTGAAACATTGCTGGGTCCACTTCATGGTGGAAAAATCTTTGTTTGATTAACTTAGTGTTGCGACTCCATCATTTTTTTTACTATAGTCTGTATATATGTGTCTATATATCTGCATGTGTGTCGGTGTGTATATTTGTGCATCTGTTTCAGTGTGTGTGTGTGAGTATCTGTGTGTGTGTATATGTGTATCACAGTGTGTGTGTGGCAGTGTATGCGTATATGTGCATACATGCCAGCATTTAAATGCCAACACTACACACAAACATGCTCCTGCATTTACACATACTCCATACAAAAACATGCTTACATTCAAACATACAAACACTGCAAGCATGGGAAAATGGTACAACCTTGCAAGCATGGGAAAATGGTAGAGCCCTAGCTGTCAAAGCATTGTTGGAGTTGCAATACAGATGAGGATCTACCTTTTGGCCACTCTTCCCCATGAATGTCTATGTTAGGTTTCCAGCATATTACAAGCAATAACTGATTTCCCCTCTTTTGCCCATGCAGATATTTACCCATAAGGCATTGACATGTTCCCAATTTAATTCATCACATACCACTTGCTTAATATTTGGCTTTAACTCATAGTTGACATACAAACATACCCCTCCACCTTTCCTATTTTTTCAATCCATCCTAAATAAAGTGTAACCAATTAAGTTAACTGCCCAGTTAACTTTTTTAATCTGTCACATATATTCTGCAATGTGGGTTTTTAGTGTTCCAGTGGTTCTACCTTCACATGGGCATGTTTGCATGTATGTAATATTTTTTTATATTGCATGAAATTAAATAATTAATTTAAACAAAATTATAAAATGTATTTTTGTTATGTAAGGTACTACTTGTGCCATTTAATAAATATTTTGTTTATATTTATAATTGGCTGATTGAATTGTAACCTTTAACAAATACGGCTTTGGGAGTTTCCTATTCGATAATGGATGTACATCATCCCTTCAAAAGATAGCAGAGAAGGATAGGACTTTATACATACTTCATAAAACTATTGGTTAAAAGGAGCCACGCTTGCTGATGTCAGTGGAGCAGGGAGGAACAGGAGCTTTGGTGTGTCCAAGTCTATTATTATTATTATTATTATTGGTATTTATATAGCACCAACTAATTCTGCAGCACTTTGCAATATTATGAAAGGGGGGCAAATTTACAATAAATGAGACAAAAATAGGTAGATGAGGACCCTGCTCTAACGAGCTTATACTCTAGATGAGGTGGGGTACAAATACACAACTGGGCAGAAAGGGTGACAGCCACCAAACAAGGTGGAAAAGTAGCAGAACTGGAGGTGAGAGTGTGTGTGGCTCTTTTGGAGAGCAAGAGACAGATATGGATAGGGATAGATTAGTTACTCTGGGAGCATTTATGAACAGATGTGGTTTGAGGTACTTCTTAAACAATTGAAGACTAGGGGGTAGGCAGGCTGTTCCAAAAGAAGGGAGACGCCCGCGAGAAGTCCTGCAAGCACAAGTTAGCAGTAAGGGTGCGAGCAGCGGACAGGAAAAGGTCACCGGCAGAGCGGAGAGACCGAGAAGGGGTATATCTATGGTATAATAAGGGAAGAAATGTAAGAGGGGCTAGAGTTGGTAAGAGCTTTATAGGTAAGGGTTAGTATTTTGAATTGACACCTATAGGATACAGGAATCCAGTGTAAGGATCAACAAAGGGGCGAGGTATGAAAGGAACGACGGGTGAGAAAGATCTGCTAACTAAACGCTGAACACCAATAGTGTTTCTGGTCTTTTTCATTATGTAAGATACTACGTTTGTCATTTAATAAATAAATGTTTTGCTTCTATTTCTTATTTTATGTTCATTCACTCTATTACATCTCAGGAATGAAGAGCTGAAGGTTTATCTGGGAATTCTATCCTTGAACCCTTGTCATAGAGCCAATGTGCTATGGACCAGATGAGCAGTTAAGAATTGGTGTGTGTTTCTTTCATCACTGGAACATTTTTATTTTTATTTTTACAGAATTTTAATTTTTTTTAACATTGTCCTCAAGAACTTCCCTTATTATATCATTGTTTACTTTTACTTTGGGTGAGGTTGAACACTTCTGTTTTTTATTTTGAACCTTACGTATTTAGAGTGGTTGGAGCAGATATGCCATGATCCAAGTAAGTGACTCATGTTGCCATATATTTCTCCCAAGTTAAAATTTACAAACTCAGGTCAGGACCAACCGATATAGGTATACTCTGTAAAATGTTGTGGGTTTAAACACTATATGGCCATATGGTTTGACTAAATTGTCATATTTTAATATGTGATTGGCACCTCCCAGTAATTTGTCAAACTGTTTTAGAACTTACTTGGGCACCCAGGCACCCGTGTTGCATTTGGCTTCACCTGGCAGATATCTTTACTGAGCTAAGTAGGTCAGGTTGTAATTGACAAATTACTTTAGTATGGTGCCAGGGCACTCCAGGAACCATAACCATTACAGTTGTCCATACTGGTTATAATGTTTAGAATGTTCTTTTTAATGAAAATACAATAACTATAATAGCTATAATAAGACAAAAATTACTAACTAAGGAAACAAGATGTTATTGAAAATCCTGTTCAAATAAAATTTTATTGATGATTGCTGGTGCACAAGTGTCACCATGGTTTTACAATGATCAGCCACAACATTAAAACCACTGACAGGTGAAGTGAATAACTGATTATATTGTTACCAAGGCACCTGTTCAAGGGGTGTGATATATCAGGCAGCAAGTTAACAGTCAGTTCTCTTATTTCATGTACTGAAAGCAGGATCCCTTCCATCTCCAAAATAACATGTCTTGTGAGGTGTTCCTGGTACCTACCAAAAGTGATGCAAGGAAGGACAAGTGGTGAACTGGCATCAGGGTTATTGATGTACGTGGTGAGTGGAGGCTAGCCCATTAGTTCAATTACATAGAAGAGCTACTGTAGCTAAAATTGCTTAAAACCATAAAGCTGGCCATGATAGAAAGGTGTCAGAACACACAGTGAATCACAGTTTGCTGCATGTGGTGCTGCGTAGTCGCAGACCAGTCTGAGTGCCCTGGATGACTCCTGTCCACCTTTAACCCCTTAAGGACACATGACATGTGTGACATGTCATGATTCCCTTTTATTCCAGAAGTTTGGTCCTTAAGGGGTTAAAGTACCGTCTTTGGGGACGTGAGCATCAGAACTAGATCATTGAGCAATGGAAGAAGGTTGCCTGGTCTGACAAATCACGTTTTCTTTTAGATAAGTTGTATGGCCAGATGTGTGTGTTGTTTACCTGGGGAAAAGATGGAAGCAGAGTGCACTATGAACAAGGCAGTGTTATCCTCCAGGCCAGGGGTGCCCTAAAGGCAGATCCCTAAATGTTTTAAAAATACAGCTTCCATGATTTTTTGCCATTCTAAAGACATGCAAAGCATTATGGGAGTTGTGGTTCTACAACATCTGGGGATCTACCTTTTGGGCAATGTTCTTTTCACACAGACCACCTACCAAGAAATTGTTGGAGACCACGTGCACCAATCATGTCAATGGTATTCCCAGGTAGCAGTGGTTGCTTTCTGCAGGAAAAGTCATCTTGCCACACTACAAAAAGAGTTCAGGAATGGTTTTAGGAACATGACAAAGAGTTAAAGGTGTTGCCTTGGCCTCCAAATTCCCCAGATCCCTATCCATTTGAGAGTCTGTTTGATGTGCTGGAACAAATCCGAACCATGGAAGCTCTTCTTTCTTAACATTGCTATTTCAGACCAGTTTTTCCAATTCAGTTTTCTATATCTACTGTTTGCAATTTTTTGTTTAACTAAAAACATAGAAAATAAAATATATTTGGAAAGGGCTAAAAGCGCACTCCAATTTTGATTTACCTAACAAAGTAAAATAGTCTTATGCTTGCAAAATTATATAATTCACTAACAAGCGGACACTCATACAATGGTCAGTGACAATCTGCTTTAATTTGATAATTTTAAAAACTGAAAATTGCCAAGAATTCCAAAGGGCATTTCAAAATTCAGATAGGCAAAGATAGGCAAATTCTCCAAGTCAATTCTGCTTTCTGTTTGGCTAGTTTTGTCTTAAAATTAAAATATAATTTGAATTCCTTTCAATTCTTAGTTTAGTGAATATGTTTTATACTCTCTAGAACTGAACAAGATACATTGGATATTATGGTTTATTATGAGAAATGTCAATGTCTTTACTCAGGTGTAAATTAAATCAATACACATTAAACATAGATCAGATATCCGATTGGAATTTCTAGAAATGGACTTTGCATGGATTATGTACTACAACTTCAAACATCCTGACTATTTAATTGCAAAGAGATTTTCACAGAGAAGACTTAAACAATAGAAAGAAGATTTGCATCCTGATGAACAGGAACAGCTAAACATATCCCAATACCTGCAAGGAGTCAACCTAGCATGGAATACTGAGCATGCTAAAATAAATTTATCTGATATATCTAATTACTACATGTATGTGTTTTAATGGTCTTAGCAATAAAACTGTTTAAATAGTATTACCTTAATATCTTCTTGACCATCTGTGTTTTTCCATTAGAAGGCATATTTCCACTCGTATGAGAACTGCATCTTGTCCCTGACTCTCTTCAATAAGAATTTACTAGTCTATTTAGAACAGCACCATTGTTTCTGTTTTAGTATACTTTTTTGGGGGAGGGGGGAAAGGGCACAAGTTTTAAACATACACACACACGATAATGCATGTACATAGTGCAAGTGTTAAAGTAAGGGAATACTCTTATAAACGCTGGTTTGGCAGATATAAATGCGATAAAGAGGAGAAGGGTGGGATAGAAAATAAAAGTTTCTTAAAACAAATTGAGCTTTTACTTGCTGAGTTTGGATGCTTTTGTCTCTCTCTTCAATCAACTTATTTTCCTTGGCATCAAAATTCTCTTTCATCTTCCTGACTTGCGTTTCAAGCTGGTTTAGTAATTCCGCTTTATCCTGCCACTTCATATTCATTGCACTAAGAATAGAAAGAGTAAATGCCTCAAATTAGCCGAGATTCAACTTCAAACAGCACAAGCTCTATTTGCTAAAACCTCTGCTCTAGAGGCCGGTTAATCACCTGTAAGCCTTCCTCACATCTTCCAGTTCAGATTCTCTCTCTTCAAGGAGCAATTCGACTTTGTCCTTCCTCGCAATCTGTCTTTGCAGCTTCCCTTTTAGCTCCTCCAGTTGTGCTGTCTTTTCGTCGGTCTGTTCTCGTAATGCTTTCTCAAGCCCAAGATTTTCTTCACGCAGCTTTCGGATTCGTTCATCTCTCTCTTGCAGTCCCTGTGTGCATGCAATGGGCACAATGCAATGATATAACCACGGTTCTTTATGGTGCAAACAAATCAACAAATATATGTATATATGGCTAATATTAAGCAGAGCAAATGTTATCTATTTCCTAGCTGACAATTAAGTGAAGCATTATTCAGAGTAGAATAGCAATTTGAAAATAATCTAAATTCGAGATGTCTTTTTATCTAGCTTTACAGATCGATTGTTTGCGTAACTTTACTCCCCTTTATTTCAGTATTCCTTCCTAGCTTACAGGTGCCTCATTACTACTGTCGTTAGTATGCAGTAGTATGCAGAATTATCCCCTAGGTGACCAATAGAATGGAAGGAGAATAAAAAATTATACTAGTTGAGTTTGTATATATATACACAAACCATATTAACTTTGTCTCACTGAAGTGGATACGGTGCCTGGGATCCTTTGATGCCGCCCTACTGTCCTACTCAGTGGCGGAACTAAAACAGGAGTGGGCCCTGGTGCAAGAACATTTTTTGGGCCTCCCTCTAGTGCAAGAGTGGTGAAAAGATAGATGCCCATCTGTTGTACAACTCCAACAATGCTATGCCAGCCAGGGATCTACCATTTACCTATTCTTGTAAAATTGTATTTGTGAGCAGTGTTTGTGCATTTAAATGTAGTCATGCTTTTGTATAGCGTATGTCTATGCATGTATGTACTGGGTGTATGGGTATGTATGGGTGTATTTGTATGTACTGTTTCCATTGGAATGCAGTTGTGTACTTGTGTGTAGTTGTTTGTGTTTAAATACAGGAATATGTTTGAATGCAGTGGTGTATCTAGTGTTGGTATTTATATGAGGATGTAGATTTTTGTGTTATTTATTTATTTATAAAATATTTTACCAGGAAGGATACATTGAGATTTCTCTCATTTTCAATTATTTCCTGGGTTCACAAAACATTGCATTGATACAATAGAGTACAATAAAATACAAAAACAATATTAATACACAATATATACAAAATATAACATAGAACTGGTAAGACATATCTAATGAACCATGACAGGTGCATTCTGTGTCTACATGACATGTAGAGAGGACAGTTTAATTGACATGCTTTTGTGAAAAAGTGAGTTTTTAATGTTTTTTGAAGGAGTGGAGTCATAAAGAAGTCTTGAAGGCGAGCATCAGAGGTGGGAGTACGAACAGAGGATAAACGCAGGTCTTTGGCAGGGCATAGGGGCCTAGAAGGGACATATTTGTGTATTAGGTTGGATAGATAAGTAGGAGAACCTGAATTTCATATTGAGCCCTATATCTTACGGGAAGCCAATGTAGGGACTGACAGAGGGGTGAGGCGTGGGAGGTGCGGGCGTACAGGAAGATGAGCCTCACCACCACATTCATTATAGACTGCAGTGGGGCAAGTTGGAAACATGTAGGACCACTGAGAAGCGGATTGCAGTAGTCAAGGCGAGAGAGGACAGTGGCATGGACCAGCACCTTAGCCGCATCTGGCGGTAAGTAGCGGATTCGCACAATGTTTTTAAGATGGATGTGGCAGGATTTGGCAATCGTCTGGACATGAGGGGTGAAGGAATGGTTGGAGTCAAAGAGAACACCTAGGCAGGGAGCCTGCATGGTGGAGCTGATGGTAGCACCATTAACGTGGAGGGAGACAGAAACAAGGTTAGCAACACTTGAGGAAGGAAAGACCAGAAGTTCTGTTTTGGACAAGTTGAGCTCAAGGAAGTGGTCAGCCATCCAGTTAGAAATAGCAGAGAGGCAGTCAGAGACACTAGTCAAGAGGGGCTGGGAGAGATCAGGGGAGGACAGATAGATTTACTTGTCATCCACATAGAAGTGATATTGGAAGCCAAAGGAGCTGATGAGTTTACCAAGGGAGGCAGTATAGATTGAGAACAGTAGGGGACCAAGGGGGACACCAAAAGAGAGAGGTTGGGAGGAAGAAGCAGAGCCAGAGAAAGAAACACTGAAAGAGCCCTGGGTGAGGTAGGAGGAGCACCAATGATTGGCATCAGCATTTGCTGTACAATCTTTTCCTTTACTGTAGGACTTAGGCAGGATTTGTTTCTGTACTGGGCACCTAGTTTTGGAATGGTTTAAATGCAATTTTTTCTATGTGGATGCCAAAAGATAGATTGGGATCTAACAACATACCCAGGTATTTGAAAGAGTGGACTGCGGTCAGTGTGCTATTTGATTTTGTTACGACATGCCAACGTGACATTGACGTACTCTGCTTGTATTTTGAGCAGTAGCGAAAGGATACGCTTTGCTGCTATGTGAGGCACCGTGGTGGAAAATCCCTGATGCTGGATGCTTTTTTTGTGAAGAAGACGGGTACATGGGGTTTTTGTGAATAAGGTGGTCATTTTTTGAAGAAGGTGGGGCAGGGTTTTGTGTGAAGAATGGGGCTTTAAAATCTTTGTTAAGAATGTGGGGGCAGGTTTTTTTTGTGAAGGAGAGGTTTAACCGCAGCTGGTTCCCCTATTTACCACTATAATGTTTTAAAGCATAGAACTTAGCACTGCTAACCATACAGATATCTTAGCAATAATTTTATTTAGTCAGTAAGAGATCCTCTATTTAAAATATATAAATAATTGAGAATACAGTATAAAATAAGGATTGTCTTGTAAGCAATAAAGTTTTGTCTTTTTAGATATTTATTATATAAAAATATAAATATATACAAATAAAATCTATTACAATAATTTATAGCAGAGTTTATGAGATTAAACTATATGCTTGCAATATCATTAAACTAGAATAACATACCCTCCTGAACATGTCAACATGTCAGCCTCTCTCACTCATTATATTATGGAGCAGCGTCTGTCTCCAAATCTCTCCTCTCTGTTCTCTAATATTTAAAAGTACACCTATTTATACCTTAGGTGTCTTCATTACCCGAGTTTATATATGTAAAAGTAACACTTCTTTTGTTTTTGTGCATTCTAGGGACCTCCCTTAACCTGGCAAAATTACAAGGCCATAACTAAAACATAAGGGTGCACACATCATGGGAAATTCCCTGACTTAGGATGGCATCTTAAAGTCAGAACATCTTTATCTATTTAGGGTTACCGCAGTATATTATGTACTGAAAGAGTTCTAGCATAGCCTTGAAGCTTGTTTATGTATTATTGTTATTGCATTTAATCTGGGACAAAATGGCGTAAACATATTATGTGCTAAAAGTAGGTAAAAGGTTATTGCTTAAAGAAACATATATGAAAAACAATATGTTCCATTTCTAACACCTTGTCAGTTTGCAATATTTCTTAAAGACAAAGTACACAGTTTGAGAAATACAATATTTTCATTTGCCCATAACAGAGGTGCACGGGTTTTGTAAAAGGGGGGCTGGAAAGATTTTGTAGAGGGGCAGGGTTTTTTTAGAAGAGGGGGACAGGTATATTGTGTAAGTGGGGGACAGTGTTTTTTTGTGAAAGGGAGTTGGGCAGGGTTTTTTGTGAAAGAGAAGTGCAGGTTGTTGTTTTTTAGAAGGGAGGTAGGTATTTTGTGCAGGTTTACATTTTTGTGCAATAAATATTCTTGAAAATGTTAAAAAAAAAAAAATTCTTTGTATTTTAAAGTGTGTGTGTGGTGGTGTGGGGGAGGAGGTGCCAGTCTCAGGATCCGCCCCAGGTTCCAAATGCTCTAGGTATGCACCTGGAATTGCCATTGCAGCCAGAATTCAGTCAGATTCACTGGATTTGTCCATCTGAACAAAATCTGGTGTTAGTGAATACCCCTGAAAAAATAGACTTTTTTTTTGTTTTATAGTTCTTATACAAGTGGGAAACTGACAGAGTATGACAAAATGCAGAATATATTTTCAATGATACCCAGCCACACTCTCAGGGCATCACAGGAAACAGTTTTCATTTATCTGCTGCAGATGATCTTCATATACAGTGAGGGGAAAAAGTATTTGATCCACTGCTGACTTTTAATGTTTGCCCAATGACAAAGAAATGATCAGTCTATAACTTTAATGGTAGGTGTATAAGAGAGTGCTCCAAATCTCTGCTTGTTACCTGTATAAAAGACACCTGGTTGCCAGAAATCTTGCTGATTGATAGGGAATTAAATACTTATTTCACTAATTGACATGCAAATCAATTTATAACTTTTTTTGACATGCGTTTTTCTGGATTTTTTTTGTTATTCTGTCTCTCACTGTTAAAATACACCTACCATTAAAATTATAGACTGATCATTTCTTTGTCAGTGGGCAAACATTCAAAATCAGCAGGGGATCAAATACTTTTTTCCCCTCGCTGTATAAGGCACTGCATATGAATGTCGCATGAATTTTAACTCATGAATTTGTTAGCTAATAGGCTCACATTAAACATTGCAAATATTTAAGAGCCACCCTAAGAATTTGCTGAGTATCATGAGAAATGTGATGAACAAACGTTCACAAAATCCCAGCACTGAAGTTGATAGTGACTTGCAATCCCTGTGCATAATTGGAAATTTAGTTCACAACCATCTTCTAACTTTAGACACTCTTGATGTTTGTTAGTTTGATTTTTCCACAATGGTCAGCCTAACCTTATGGTAAAGAGCTAACCAAGAATAATTGGAATTGCAAACACTTTTTTTGTGGAGTTGTTTATAAACTACAGTTGCCATGAATTGTAATGTAAAACTAAAGGCATTATGCCAAAGACCTACGTCTATCCTCTGTCCGTACTCCCACCTCTGATGCTCGCCTCCAGGATTTCTCCAGGGCTGCACCTCTTCTGTGGAATGCCTTTCCCTTCTCCGTTAGACTTTCACCCAGTCTCCACTCATTCAAAAAATCATTGAAAACTCACTTCTTCAAGAAAGCATATCAGTTAAACTTTAAGCAGGTTTTTATCCCCCACCCCCATGACTCCTCTCCTACAACTGTCAAAAATTACCTACTAAGCCCTAAATGAATACTTTTCTAACAACCTACTTCGTACCCCTACTTTTACCCTTTGTGTCACTATACCCCACTTTCTCTAGAATGTAAGCTCATTGAGCAGGGCCCTCCACCTCTCTGTTCCTGTATGTCCAATTGTCTGGTTAAAATTACATGTCTGTTAGTCCACCCAATGTACAGCGCTACGGAATGTGATGGCGCTATATAAATAATAAAATAATAAATAATAATAATAACTACTAATCTTATTGAAGTGTTGATAAAAGGGAAAAGGGAGGTGTTGATAAAAGGGAAAAGCCAGTGGGCCAAAGAACAAAGACATTAAAGCTAGCTCTTTATCCATAATGTAGTCTTAAACCCCTCAATTAGTGTTGTATCATTCAGTGCAACCATCTTGTAATTTGTAACAAAAGTGAGTTATGGTGTGATGATTTACATACTTTGCCACAATAGCGTAAGAGGAAACAACATTGTATCTAAAGGGCCATTATCATGTGTTTAAATAGAGTCAAACCATATATAGACCAAGCCAAGGGGTATCTATATACTCGAAAAGTCAACAGATTAGATTAAATACAACACAAATGAAATGGTTAAATTAACAAAGTAGCTTTTAGAAAAAAAATCAATTAACAGTAAATCTATTTCGCCCCCCAAAACTCATAGAATATATATAATGTATTTTAACCCAACCCTAAATAAAAGGTGGAGAGCTGAATATACATCTGGCTCACAAAAATGTCAATCCAAGATCTTGTCAGGATATTTATATCGGCAGACATATTGTGCTAAAATAGAAATTAAAAGTGTATATTGCCAGAGTCACTCAGAACAGAGCAGACTCCATTTTGCTATCTTCAGGATAACAAAGACACATAATTTCCTTGCTTTCACTAACCACTGAGCCTGAGCTAAGGAATGCATTATATAAACACAGACACTAGTGACAGAGAAGACTAAGTAATTAATTTTACCTTCTAAATTTTACAAGGTCTCATTGTAAGTAAGGGGTGAAATTGAGTTTAGAACTGTCAATTTTAGAAATTACGATCAAAGTAGTTGCCACAAAGACTGAGACAAACGCTTTGAACTGACAGCAAATTTAAGTTATGGTAGTCATTTTAGATAAGTCAAATGATGTCAAAATCGTCATCAGGAAAAGTTAACTATTTCCTGCATAGGAAGGTTTAGTGAGGCGAGACTGCCCTCACTGCCATGGATCAAATACCTAAATTGCGATCTGAAGGTTGAACACACCTTCAGTTTCCTATTGGCCTTATCAACTAATGACATACAGAGGGTCTGGCCCTTTAAAAGTTAGGACAAAGAGAAGAGAGAGGGTAGTTGAGGAGTTTTGGGCATTCAGACTTGGACATGCAGAGAGATTCAGGACACTCTGGGACTAACACTCAACTCTCAAACTCTCTTGGACACAACTCAAGAAACACTCCTTGACACTTAGAATTTTACTGATACTTTCTAACCAACACCACTTTTCTCTATTACTCACACACCTCCATACAACCAATCATACTTGCATTTTCCTGGGACTACCTACTCATCTGATGAGAATACCTACATAACTGGTAATTATGCTGGTTTCATTTAATTAATCTAAATTAATTAAAATCTAATAGCATGATATATGACTGGATAAATCTTGGTCAGATTTCAATATTTAGAAATCTTAGTTAACTAAAGAATATATAGTTATAAACATTCCATTCTGCAGGTGGAATTAAGAATAATTATATATTAATGTGATAGTATCACGTGCTAGCATACCGTTGTTTTTATCCAGGTGTATTAATTTGCTCTAAATAAGATATCTTTTTAAGCAAATTAAAATTCGGCTTATAGAATTTGGTAGATTATTCTTATTGGATGGTTCCAGGAAATGATTAATGAGCTGGTTTGAATGTTATTTTAATTGAAAATTACATGAGAATAGGATACTATATGCCTAGGAGGATCTAGCCAGCATTGAAAGGGTTACTCAGTTGATTTAACTGTTAGCCAAGGTTTTATGACTTTTCCCTGGACTGTGTGAAATTTTGCTTTCTTTGTACTGAGAAATTCCCATTAATCTTGTCTTGACAGTTGATGCTGTAGATTGTACTGTGTTTAGCCATTGCATTGTATACTTATGTTATACTAAATATTCACTGATTAATATCATGCATGCTGCCTAATATTATTGTTCTTTAATTTGTCATAATAAATTATATCTATTTTTATAACAAATTGGGATTTTATTTGTATGGAATACATTTGACTTACATGATAATGATCTCTAAGATCTAAGAGAATTGAAATAGTGGGCAATTCTCGACTGTTTAATATTATCATCCCATAAATATCCCCACAATCTAAATATATACTTTCAGGTTGGACAATACAATAATAGGATCTCCTTAAACCCTCTGCCTTCATTAAACAGTGTGTCTCGAAACTCAAATTCTAGAGCTGTGTACTGCTGTGTGAGTGCATTTATTTTCTCTTGGAATTTATTTATTTGTTGACTATGGCAACGTACCTCCTTGGAAACTTCCTTAGACACATCTTCTTGGAATTTTTGTCCATGTAGAGGCAATCTTGATTCAAGTTATTAAATAAACCTGCTGCACAGACAGATATTCAGTAACAAGAACTTGTTTGATCTAAATAATTTTCAACGGTGGAGTTCAGTGTGTTCCTAACGGAACACCTGGGGAGATGCAATTTTTATTTGTTAGCCCTCTGTCTTTGTTGGGATGTTTAGATTTCAGGGTCCCCAGTTTTTTTAAATACCTAAAATCCAGCACTGACACAGTCTTTTTGGAGCAGCCTGGTCTGCCTTTAATACGTTTATTAAGCTTGATGGCCATTTTGTCCAATTAAATCATTCTTATAGAGAAACATTGGTTACTTAATGCATAGGTATGTCTATCACTGTGATTTGCTAATCAAATTGTTCTTTCAGTCAAGAACAGAGTCAGACTTGGTCCTTACTGTGAAAGCACCCTTGCAATACCCCTTTTGCCACCATCAAAGCCTACTGATGTGCCTTCCCTTTTTGCCTCATTGTCTTATTTACCAAGCAATGTGCAATGCCAAAACCAATCACACTAACACTTTAAAAAAATGTATTATTATTATTATTTATTAGAATTTATATAGCGCCAACAAATTCTTTAAAGCCACAACTGTGATAGAAAGTCTACATTTTATTTCTATTGTAAATATGGCTTTTATTTATTTTTTTGATAGTTGGTAAAAAAATTATCCATCCCACTGCATACTCATTTTATTATTACTATTTGGTCATTTAGCAAACCCCACCAACTAAGTAAGTTTGCTTGTTTTTCCTGTAGCCTTTTTTAATTTTTTGTTGTTGTGTGCCTCCAAATTGTAACCCATCCTCAAAACACCATTGCCTCTGTAAATCTTCATAGTGTCCTGCACTTTCTCTGCATTATCCCTTATGCCCCCATATCTGTTGCCTACCCTTCATTATACACTCTGCTCCTTTACCCACTAAAAGTATACTTTCATATCTAATAGTATATCAAAATGATAAATGTTGCACCTTTTATAAAGTGCCATTCAATATTGTATAAGGATTTGAATTGGGCATTCACTTTTGGAAGAAAAATGGATTGTTCCTCCATTCATCTAAATTCCGAATGGCACAATGGTAAAATGAACTGATGCACCAAACGCTCAAAACTTTACTAGTGTCAAATTTGTTCCCTTATGTGGGATTACCAATCTGTATTTAAGGGTGCCACTAATTTTATCAACTCATAGAGCAGGAAACACTCTTGACCTCATCTTCACCAATCTCTGTACTACCTCTAATATCTCCAATGTTCCATTTCCTCTATCTGACCACCATCTGCTGTCCATTGACATCCGCATACCCCACCCTCACCACATCAGTCTTGCAGAAACCTCCATTGTCTTGCCCTATAGGAATTCTTCACCAACCTCCAAAGTCTCCTTTCACCCATCTCAAATCTCACCTGCCCTAACACTTCAACCTCCCTCTGCAACTTCACTCTCTCCTTTCAACTAGACTTCATGGCACCTCCTACACTTAAGCGCACTAAGAGCCCCCAATTGCAACCCTGGCACACCAAGCTGACCCGATACCTCCACAAATGTCCCAGAACTGCTAAACACTGCTGGAGAAAGTCGCCCTCTGCATCTGACTTCCTTTACTGCAAATTTATGCTGCACTCTTACAGTCTGGCTCTTTCCTCTTCAAAATAAAACTACTTCAATACACTCATAACCACACTCTCCCGCGAGCCCAAATGACTGTTTCATGCTTTTAACCCTCTTCTGTGCCCTGTCATGCCTCCTCCTACTACCACCAACTTGACCGCCACAAACTTTACAACTCACTTCACTAAGAAGATTTCTACAATCAGGGAAGAGATCTCTCATCTCTCTTTCATCCACTACCAACTTTTCCCGTAATCACACTCCCTCAGCTGTCCTATGTTATATTTGCACCCGCTACAGCAGAAGAGATTTCTGCTCAGCTCCGTTCCTCCTGCCCCACCACCTGTTCCCTCGATCCTATTCCCTTGTATCTCATCCACACTTTGTCTCCTTCTCTTGCTCTGCCTCTCACTTTTCCTCTACCCTTCAAATATGCAACCATAACCCAGATTCTGAAAAAGCCCAACCTTGACCCTAATTCCCCATTCAACTACTGCCCTATCTCGCTACTGCCGTTTGTCTCTCTCTCCTTGAGAGAGTTTTGTATGCGAGATTGAGAGGCTTCCTCGAATCCAACTTTCTGCTTGACCCGCTTCAATCT